CTTTATGTCCCAAGACCAGGGAGAAAGTATGGGAAAATTCCTTCCGTGGACAGTTTTCCCCCCTTTGTTGAGATGGTGGACGACTCGAAACATTCAATCCATTCTTCTCAATGGTTTATTTGTGCTGTAGAAATATTTGCAGCATACTTAGCTCCCGTTTTCTCTCAAAGTTAGCAGGCTGTACAGATCAATATTACGTCCGTCTATCGCTACTGGATAACAGCTTGTTTACAACTCATAATATAGTCAGGTTCTGTGTAGCCGAAAGCTAAAATCTGGCAGATCTGACAGTTAAGGCTCCACTGTGCCAGAAACACTTCACATCTGTGGTTTGATCTTAGCTGTTCATCATTAAGATGCATAACTTTTTAAAATCAGTTTTAGAGTTCTGTTGAGGTAATGAAAATCATGCCCAGTAATCTGTAACTACCTTTATTTTCTAATTAGAAGGTACTTTAGTTCTACTCAGTTCTATAGAGCCACCTTGGTGTAGTGGTTAGAGCAGTGTTTCTCAACCTTGACGATTTTAAGGCATGTGGACTTCAACTCCCAGAATTCCACAGCCAGCATTGCTGGCTGTGGAATTCTGGGAGTTGAAGTCCACATGCCTTAAAATCGTCAAGGTTGAAAAACACTGGGTTAGAGAGTCAAGCTAGAAAACCAGGAGACTGTGAATTCCAATCTTGCCTCTGGCAAGAAAGCTGATTGGGTGACTTTGGACCAATCACCAGGACACTGAAAGCTGTAGTCCTGCCTTAGGCATAAAAGCTAGCTGGGTGATTTGGGGCCAATCACCAGTCAGCTCTGAGTTCTAGTCCCTCCTTAGGCATGAAGGGCAGGGAGGTAACCAATGGTGGGATTCAAATACCTGAACAACTGGTTCTCTTATTAGATGCAGGCCTGGGCCTCCAAGGTCTAGAACAGACTTCTGGAAGTGGCATCCATGCACTTCTGGTGGGCTGTTCTAGGCCTGGGACACCTCCTCCCGGCTTCCGAGACCTAGAACGGACTTCCGGAAGTGGCATCCATGCACTTCTGGTGGGCTTTTCTAGGCCTGGGAGGCCTCCTCCTGGCTTCTGAGGCCTAGAACGGACTTCTGGAAGTAGCATCCATGCACTTCTGGAGGGCCATTCTAGGCCTGGGAGGCCTCCTTCAGGCCTCCGAGGTCTAGATTGGACTTCGGGAAGCAGTGTGCATTCAGCCGGTTTTTCGAACTCAGCAAAATTTAGCTACCGGTTCTGCTGAACTGGTGCGAACTGGCTGAATCCCACCACTGGAGATAACCATAGGCCAGCCACTTTTTTTCAGCCTCAAGAAGGAAGCAAATGGCGGACCACGTCTGAAAAGCCTTGCCAAGAAAACTCCTTTTGGGGATGAGTTTTATTGGGAACTGCAGGAATTGGGTATGTCTAGTCTAATGAAGAGAAGGACTTGGGGTGACATGATAGCAGTCTTCCAATACTTGAGGGTCCACCACACAGAAGAGGGGTGTGTGTGAACCTATTCTCTGAGGGGCAGGACAAGAAGCGACTGATGGAAACTTACCAAGGAGAGAGTCAACTTAGAACTAAGGAGAAATTTCTTGAGAACAGTGAGAAGAATTAACTCCATCACTGGAGTTTTTTAATTAAAAGTTTATAAATTTATTACAATATAAACCCCTCCCCCCACCCCTTCTCCCCCTCTCCCCTCTCCCCCCACTTCCCAGAGCTGATTACAGGGTAAAACAAAAGAATAAACAAATATAATCCAACTAACATAAACCAACTATACTATCAATCAAAACCATAAGACACTTTAACTCCTTATCAATACAAATATTAACAAATTAAGTCAAAAATAATAATATAATTAAAGCTATTAATAATTATCTAAAATCTACTCAAAAGCAAGATAATACTTTTCAACTTCATATTTCTTCTGAATATAATCAATCCATCTTCTCCAAACCATAATATATCTTTCTTGTGAATGGTCCTTCAAATAGGCGGAGATCTTCGCCATATCTGCTAAATTAGACACTTTAAGTATCCATTCTTCCAAAGTAGGTAACAAATTTTTCTTCCAATATTGCCCCACCAATAATCTTGCAGCTGTTATAAGGTTCAACATCAAATTAGTTTCTTTAACATCAAACATCACTGGAGCTTTTAAGAAGAGATTGGACAACCATTTGTCTGGAATGGTATAGGGCAGGGGTAGGCAACCCAAAACACTTAAAGAGCCACTTGGACCCATTTCCCACCAAAAACAAAACACTGGGAGCCGCAAAACCCTTTTGATATCTAAAATGAAGATAACTGCATATATCCTTTTTTACTTGTATTATACGTGTGTGTGTGTGTTTGTGTGTGTGTTTGTGTGTGTGTGTATATACATACACATACATATACACACACAGGTAAAAAAAGGAAATATGCAGTGTGCCTATGCATATATGTATATACACACACATATATATATTGTGTGTGTATGTGTGTATATACATATATGTATGTATATACACACATACACATACACATACACACACAGGTAAAAAAAGGATATATGCAGTGTTATCTTCATTTTAGATGTCAAAAGTGTCTCTCTCTCTCTGTCTCTCTCTCTCCCTCCCTCCCTCCCTCCCTCTCTCTCTTTCTCTCTCTCTCCCCCCCTCCTATCTGCTGCTCACCTGGCAAGCTTCAAGCTGTTGTCCAACAAGCTCAGGGGTAGGCAACCTCGTCTCTTTTATGACTCATGGACTTCAACTCCCAGAATTCCTGAGTCAGCCTAGCTGGGTTAGCTAGCTCTCTCCTGCCCTTCCTGCTTCCTGCTTCCTGCAGAGACGCAGCAAAGGGAGGAGCTCCGCCCAGTAAGCTTTTTCCTCTGAGAACACTGTGAGTGCACTCTCTTTTAGAGAGAGAGAGAGAGAGAGACAGAGAGAGAGAGAGAGAGAGGTAGGGAAGCGCAATTGCATCTCTCTGTCTCTGTCTCTCTCTGCAAAGGCAGAGGAGGCTGGGAGCCACAGGGGAAGGCTCAAAGAGCCGCATGCGGCTCCAAAGCCACAGGTTGCCGACCGTGGTATAGGGCAAGCTCTCCTGCTTGAGCAGGGGGTTGGACTAGAAGACCTCCAAAATCCCTTCAATCTCTGTTATTCTGTAATTCCGTTCTGCAAGACATCTTCCCTCGAGTCTTGGGAATAGATGCTTCTTATAAAGGACACCCTCAGCTGTCCCTGAAAATATCAGACACTTTCCTACCTCCCAAAATGAGAGAGGAAGAGAGAAGAAATTTGGATTCTACTGTACATCTTGAGGTTCACTTGTTACTAAGAACAAACCTGCCAGATTCTGGCTATTGGCCAAGAATAATAATAATAAAAAAGGGGGACCAGGCTGAGCTCAACTCACCCTTCTGAAGGATGGGTGCCTTCCAGTTGCCCTTACGTACCCAGCGAAGGATCTGTCATTGGAATTCTTGCTGAGTTTGAATCTCTACCAAGTGGCCTCTTCCCAGATCCTATGTCTGGGACAAGTGTGTGTGTGTGTGTGTGTGTGTGTGTGTGTGTGTGTGCCCTGTGCTTTTATTTCCATTAATCACGTACTTTGTACCGTGCACTAGCTTGCCAAAGGAGAGGAGACATGAAGTCTACAGAAACAGCTTGGAAGAAAACCAAATATTTCCTCTGATCTCATCCAGCAGACGTTCATTGGCTTGCAATGGGTCTTCAGCTGAGAAGACTTTTTTTTAATCACCTGCCTCTTTTGGTCTTTTTTTTTTTTTTAATGGGTGGCCCACCACTATCTCACCTGTTCCTCTTGGGAGTCAGCAATTCATCTTGGTCCTACTACTTGTTGGAGGTGGTTTGACCCACAAACTAAGAGGCTAAGCAGCACCTGGGCAACTACAAAGCTTGAATAATTGCTTTCCTGGTCTTTCCGGGTGCCAGCTCTATTGCCCAGTCAAGCCCTTTGCCCATCAGACTTCCTACTTTGACCAGGAGCAGAGATCAGACTCTTCTGTTCCTCCATATGAAATTGGAATGGAATGGAATGGAATGGAATGGAATGGAAGAGTTGGAAAGGACCTTGGAGGTCATCTAGTCCAACCCTCTGCTCAGGCAGGAAACCTTATACCATTTCAGACAAATGGTTGTCCAATCTTTTCTTAAAAACCACCAGTGTTGGAGCACCCACAATTCTGGAGGCAGGTTGTTCCACTGGTTAATTGTTCTTACTGCCAGGAAGTTTCTCCTTAGTTCTACGTTGCTTCTCTCCTGGGTTAGTTTCCATCCGTTGCTTCTTGTCCTGCCTTCAGGCGCTTTGGAGAATAGCTTGACTCCCTCTTCTTTGTGGCAGCCCCTGAGATATTGGAACACTGCTATCATGTCACTCCTTGTCCTTCTCTTCGTTAAACGTCTTCTTCTTGTGCCATATCCGTTATCGGATGTTGGCGATCCTGTTTTTATCAGCAGCCACACAAAAAAAAGTGCTGCTGAGTTTTGTCCAAACCAGTCCCTTAGATTTTGAAGCCATGATGTTTTTCTTCTGCCTGGACCTCGTTTGCCTTCAATCTTTTCCTGGAGGATTAAATGGAGTATCCCGTATTTTTCCTGGTGTCGCATCACTTGTCCGAAATATTCTAACTTTCGTTTTTTAATTGTTTTGATGATTTCCCTTGGCTTTCCCAAGCAGCTTATCCCCTCCTCATTTCTGATCTTGTCAACCCAGCTTATACATAACAGCCGCCTGTAAATCCACATTTCAAATGCTTCTAGTCTCTTCAGGTGGCCTTCTGTCAGAGACCGACTCTCTACTCCATAGAGCAGGATAAAAAAAATATAGCATCTGACAAGCCTGATTTTCAGTCTTAGGCTTATGTCGTGACTGCAGAAGACCTTTTTCGTTTTGAAGAATGCTGTTCAAGCTTTCTCTATCCTAGCCTTTACTTCAGTGGCCATGTCCCAGCTTTCATTAAATTAGACATACCCAATTCCAGCAACTGTTCTTTATATGTTTTAGCCTCCAGATGACGGGACTTCTAAATCATCTTAGGGTCTGTTTCCTGGCTCTTGTCGTCCCTCACCCGGTGCCAATGGAAAGAGGACACAATCAACGACAGAACCAACCCTCAACTAAGTCTGGGGACTCTTCAGATCAGGTATGGTCCTACTATAAGTCTCAACTTATAGATCCTCAACATAGTACCAATTGTTTCTCTTGGAGAATATCCCATCTAGTCTAATGCTGGGCTGGCTTTGTTTCCTGCATCTGGGAGGATCTTGACTCCCTGTGAACAAAGTAGGACATCGCTCAATTTTTTAGCTTGTTTGGAAAAAAAAGAGCACCTCACTGTGAAATTCAACACAATCACCTGAGCTTTGCAAGGTCAGCTGACTAGCACCCAAGTTGGAATAATTAGAATTAGAATTAGGGCTGGCTGAGGAATTCTGGGAGTTGAAGTCCACAAGTCTTAAAGTTGCCAAGTTTGAAGACCCCTGCTATAGGTTTTGGATGCAAACACTCCCCTTTAGACAGTACGGCAAAAGTTGTGGCTGATAGGGATTGTAGTTCAGCCCACTTGGGAAGAAAGAGGCTGAGGATTCCTTTCCCTTTTCTGGATGTAGCTCCATTTCCCTATCTTTAATCTACCAAGATTGAGGCTTGTGGAATTATTCCTAAGAGAAGCAGAAAAGGATTAGCGTCTCCACTCATAATTTAATGAACCTGTGCTCAGGTTTCTCCATCGTTTAAGCCATGATACATAGAGCTATTTGATGAACATGGAAAAGCATGCAGAACATAGACGCTGCTATTCCTATTCCTATTCCATTCTATTCTATAAATTTTACTCCTTTTACTTCGCATTACGGAACCTCACAGTAGTATAAGAGCTTTTAATATTCTCAGGATTCCATTTTATCTGTTAATCAGATCCTTTCTCAGATACTCAACATTTGAACTGTAACAGAGACAAATATTTCAGAGGCATGTGTTCATTAAACTATCTTCCCGCAACTAAACCAGAGGGCCATGAGTTGGGGCTGAGCTGCCTTCTTTCCATACAGCCAGTGCTTTTTTGTAAAAAAAAAAAAAAGGTGCCGGAACTCACACATGTCATACAATCCGCCTTGCCTACCCTACAAGGTTCCATCCAAAAAAGGTGCTGGAACTCCGTTCTGGGCGTTCTATGACAAAAAAAAAAAGCCCTGCATACAGCTGTGGCTGCAGTACAGCAAAGGGCTGCCTCCCCTTTGCAAAACAGCTCGAACAACGTTTTGTCCGCGGCAGCATCAAAATTAAGCACTTCACATCCCGGATACCCCCGTAAGCTTCTCAACTCCCTGGCCCCGTAGCCTCTTCTGAATTGGAAGCAGGTTGGCTGAAAAAGCTCAGCCCTTTCAGCTGAAGTGCCAGCCACACAAAACGGGCAGCGGAAAAAAGAAAAGGACTGAGAGATGAGCAGCGGCGGGTTAGAAAGAGCAACACGGGCAGCACTTAGCCAAGCTGCGAGAAAACATGCCTTTGTCGGAGCCGCAATCTATTTTAAGACACGGAGCCATGTCGTGTGGCCTGGGGGGAACCCAGAGCAGCGGAGGAGCGCAGGGACAGAGGTCGGCTTAGGGAAGCGCATGAAAATTAAAAAGGGCCCCTGGTGCAATTCTGGAATCGGCTTGGAGTTTGTCCCCGCCCCGAACGACCAAGGATCAGGCAATCAGGAGTTGATCTGCAGTCACTAATAGTGGGGAAAGTGGGATGGCTCAGAGTCAAAAGGCAGGAGAACAAGTCCTAGTAGAAATTGGGGAGATGTTCAGGAGAGATCTCAAAAGTGTTTTTTCAAAAGGCAACTGGACTTGGTTCTGTTGAAGGAAAAGTCTTCTTCATGGTTCAATCCAAGCCGGGGATAAACAACATGGCAGCTGCTTTAGAAAGAAGGTTGCAGTATATTGACAAGGAGAGCCAGACAGAAAGATGGTTCTGGCAGAAAAAGGAGAGAAAAAGGGACTTAGCACATGTAGGGAGTGGGTTTTTATACTCTCTGGAGCCTTTTGTTTGGAGGTTATTTCCTGTTCCTGTTTGAGGCTTTGTATTTCCTGTGTCATGTATTTTGACCTGTGTCCCTTTGGCAGCTGTGAGTTAATCCTATTATGTCCCAAAGGTCATATCCTGCTTCCCTGGTGCTGGGGCTAATGACTCTTAGATTTTGGGTGGGGTATGCAGATATTAGGTTTCTTTCTCTTCCTAAGCTTCTAGCGCCAACTTTCCTGATGGTTTACATCTGCATCTGCATCTGCTGGCTTCTGCTTGGGGGAGGGAGACCTGGGGCTATCAAGGAAAACTGGGCATACTTTCCTGCTTCTTTAAGATCCTGGGAGAAAATATATTTTTCTGCCCTTTTAATATTTCCTCCTCTGGGGGGCTGACTTCCCACAGTTTGTTTCTTTTTTTCCTTGAAAACATTTTGCTTCTCATCCAAGAAGCTTCATCAGATGTGACTGGAGGGTAGGGAGATATTATAACCCAGGTAGTCAAGGCAAGGCAAGCCTCTAAAGCAGAGGTCTCCAACCTGTGGACTGCAGCCTGTTGGCCAGCAGGCTGCAGGAATGGCTGTATGCACCCCCTATCATGCTAGCAGCCCTATTTGCACATGCGTGGGAGTGCTACCGCCACCACCACCATCACGCAGTCGCTAGCGGCCCGTTTGTACATACGTGGGAGTGCTACCGCCACCACCACCATCACGCAGTCGCTAGCGGCCCGTTTGTACATATGTGGGAGTGCTACCGCCACCACCACCATCACGCAGTCGCTAGCGGCCCGTTTGTACATGCGTGAGAGTGCTACTGCCACCATCACCATCACGCAGTCGCTAGCAGCCCTGTTTGCACATGCATGGGAGTGCTACTGCCACCACCACCATCACACAGTCGCTAGCGGCCCTGTTTGCACATGCGTGGGAGTGCTACCGCCACCACCACCATCACGCAGTCGCTAACAGCTCTGTTTGCACATGCATGGGAGTGCTACCGCCACCACCACCATCACGCAGTTGCTAGCGGCCTGTTTGCACATGCGTGGGAGTGCTACCGCAACCACCACCATCACGCAGTCGCTAGCGGCCTGTTTGCACATGCGTGGGAGTGCTACTGCCACCATCACCATCACGCAGTCGCTAGCGGCCTGTTTGTACATGCGTGGGAGTGCTACCGCCACTATCACACAGTCACTAGCGGCCCTGTTTGCACATGTGTGGGAGTGCTACCACCACCACTACCATCACACAGTCACTAGTGGCCCGTTTGCACATGCGTGGGAGTGCTACCGCCACCACCACTATCACACAGTTGCTAGCAGCCCTGTTTGCACATGTGTGGGAGTGCTACCGCCACCATCACGCAGTCGCTAGTGGCCCGTTTGCACATGTGCGCAGTGGCTAGTGGTCTGTTTGTGGGTGCTAGCGGCTTACTTGTATGGGCGCTCAGGCACCAGTCTGCTTGCGTATGTGCGCGGATGCTGCCATGTGTGTGCCCGTTTGCAAGTGTGCACGCACACACACATTTTCAAGCATGGCTCAGCTTGGAAACCTCTCCCTTTCCCCTCAGCACGGCTGGCTCAGGAATTCTGGGAGTTGAAGTCCACCAGGCATAAAAGAGCCAAGGTTGCCTACCCTGGCCTAGGCAAATTGCTCCTGGCAAAGACTAACTCCCCAGGGCTTCTCCTTAAGTTACTCCCCTCCAGGGGTTCCTTGTGAGAAGGGGAGGGCAACCTCTTCCCAAGCAGCCTTACAGCCCTTCTCTAAGCTTGCCTAAGCTCTGCTCTCCATGCCCTTGGATCAAGTGGGGGAGGCAGCTGTTCCTCCTCAGAGGGGATCAGTTGCCTATCAGCACTGCTACCTGTTAGCAGCTGATCCTCCCCATGTCTGTGCAGGCAGGCAGTTCTCCGTCAGGTTGACCACCTCCGCCAATGCCTGAGGGGCCCGGGGCAGCATCATCCTCAGCCCCTGGCATGCTTTCCATTTGGATGGTATACCAGCCCCCCCCTCTTCCTCTTCTTCCTCCTCTGAACTGGCCTCTGAGGGGGCCATGACAGGAGGATGGAAGGACTGTATTTCTTTGTAGTTATAATGAAGCTTCTTGGAGGAGAAGCGAAATACCTTCTTTCTCAAGGGAAAAACAGTACAGTTGCTTTTTGAAAAAGCACCTTTGAGACAACTATGACCTGGATGACTGAGAATCTCCATAGACCAGGCAACCTTGGCTCTTTTATGACTCGTGGACTTCAACTCCCAGAATTCCTGAGCCAGCATGGCTCAGCTTGGAAACCTCTCCCTTTCCCCTCAGCATGGCTGGCTCAGGAATTCTGGGAGTTGAAGTCCATGGGTCATAAAAGAGCCAAGGTTGCCTACCCCTGTCATAGACGTTCAGGAGAGATGTTGCACCAACCATGATTGTAGGCATCTGGAGTATCCCTTCTGCCTTGTAGTTTTCCTCCTCTGGAGTCTTGGCGTCTCTGGATTTCTCCTCCTCAATAAGTCCCAAGGTGGAAAGTTTCATGCCACTAGATCTCATTTTCATCCTCAGGGGACTGTACCAATGTGGAGAATGGGATGATCCAGCAAGACATGTAGATATTTGGTGAACATGCAATCAAGTAGGTGCCTTTAAGAGGTGCTCCAAACTAGGGGTCCCCAACCCTCGGTCCGTGGACCAGTACCGGTCCGTGACATGCCAGCAACTGGTCCGCACAGACAAGTAAAGCCCCATTCTGCAGGATGCAGGCAGCACACAAAAGCACACATTCTCCAGTCTGTTGAAAGCCCTCTCTCCACGGAACCGGTCCCTGGTGCCCAAAAGGTTGGGGACCTCTGCTCCAAACCAATCTTGGTATCCTAAAGATGCCTCTTCTGAGCTGAACTCATGGCCCTCCAGGGGGTTTTGTTGGCAGCAATACAGACTAGAGATGGTCTTGCTCTTTTTCTGGGATATTTCATGTGGCCTCCCATCCAATTAGATGACTTCTTCTTCTTCTTCTTCTTCTTCTTCTTCTTCTTCTTCTTCTTCTTCTTCTTCTTCTTCTTCTTCTTCTTCTTCTTCTTCTTCTTCTTCTTCTTCTTCTTCTTCTTCTTCTTCCTCCTCCTCCTCCTCCTCCTCTTCTTCTTCC